TGGACATCACTGTTCGTCCTCTCGAAGACCATAAGCTAGGTTGTATTCTGGGTAAAGGAGACCTGCCATCTCTCCCCCTAAGTCGAGATTTATGGAAGTCTGTCATTTAGTTTTTCTATAGCGGCATCCTTTTCCCTGGGCTCATACCTGTTCCATATCCGTAAATGCTTTGGCTTCAGGAATGAGGTGGAGCAAGTAATTGGAAAAGACATTCCACAACAGAGGGCCCAATATGCTTCCCTGAGGGACACCAGCTTTGATGTCGTAGTAAGTAGAGTGTTTTCCATTGGGAACTGTCTGTCGAGTAGATAAATTTCCAAAAGGACCAGGAGTTCACTGTCCACTCCAAATGCTTTAAACTTACTTAACAAACCTAGGTGCCATACCCTACCAAAGGCTCCAAGTGCAGCTGACCAATCTGCAGTCATCTGTAACAGCAGGTCGGCAGCAGAGCGGTTCTTCCTAAAGCTATATTGACGGGTAGAAAAAGGATGGTTTTTGTTGAGGTGGTTTGCTAGGTAGGAAGATTTTTTTTTTTCAAATATTTTGCTGATGATTGACAGCAAGGAAACTGGCCGTTATTTTTTGGACTGGATTTGTCCCCCTTTTTGAAGATAGGAACAGCATTACTTTGTTTCCGATGCGTATGCCATTTGCAGGAGCTTAAGCATATGTTAAAATCTTAAGTGAGATATGATAGCTCCTTTGCTCACCGTCAGGTCCTGTAACTGTCTACATTGTGCAGGAGCTTCACTTCTCACTCGCTTATTGTAATCCTGTTTAGTACTCATTACTCAAGATGGGAAATATGGGTGTTTTTTTGCTTAGGATAAGGAAATGTTATTTTGCTTGAGAAATATCTTGCACCTGTCTTTTCTTCGGAGCTTACGGCTAGTGTCCCATCTTTTGTTATTAGGGGTGGGATAGTTTCATCCTTTGAGTTGCATTCTTGTCTTTAACAATGTTCCACCATAATTTTGTTCGAACTTTACTTTTATTTTTTTGTGCTTTTTCTCCCATTGGTGAATGGCCCATTTTTGAGTATGTTCCATTTGTTGTGCAGCCTGTCTATGGAATTGCTTATTTCTGTTTGTAGGATTTCTATTATACCGGATCCATGTTTGATGTTTGATGTCCAATTTGCGTTGAGGTCCAAACCATGTTTGATCAGAGAGCTTCGATGAGTAGTTAAGATGGGGTATAAAACGATTTTGTAGCTTCATTAAAATAGAGGTGAAGGAATTAACCTTCTGATCTATAGAGCCCTGGATTTCATCCCAATTCCTCATCGTTCTTGTCGTAGTCTCCTCCCTAGGTGTTCTTGAACTAATCTTTGTTAAGATAGCTTCGTGGTCAGATGTCCCGACGTAACCAAGTGGGGCAGACTTTACTGAATGGAAAGGTAGGTCAGTGATAACTGGGTCAAGAGATGATCCAGGGCGATGTGTTGGAAAATCAACTAAGTTCCGTAGGTCATGGACTGCCATTAGTTCGTCGAAAGCAGACTGCACGCTGTACTGGTTTAGGTCTCCAAATAATACAAAATGATGGCAGTTATAGGTGGCCATAAGCTGATCAAGATTTTGCATTAAGAAATCCATAAGTAGTGTCCCTTGTGATGGTTGCCGGTAGCATCCACAAAGAATACCGTGCCGTTTCTTGTCCACCAGTCTGAGGAGTATTAATTCCATGCCGTCTGGTAAGGAAAGACCTATTAGCTGCAGTTGCAGGTTTATTTTGTAGGTTTATTTTGTAGCATTGTGCAATTCCTCCTCCCTGTGTATTTCTATCTCTACGCATCCAATTAGAATATCCTGAAATACGTGCATAGTTGGACGGAACCCTGTCATCAAGGATGGTTTCAGCTGTGAATACAGTATCAGCCTGCTGTTCATTTACGAACTGGCGACTTAGTTCTTCAACATTGATGTGGAATCCTCTCACATTTTCTAAAATTATTCGTATTTTGCAACTTTTACCAATGCCTTGGAATACTCCTGTCTGTACGTCACGGAATGATTCGGAATGATGGAATGAATTTCTCTCTCTCTCTCTCTCTCTCTCTCTCTCTCTCTCTCTCTCTCTCTCTCTCTCTCTCTCTCTCTCTCTCTCTCTCCCTCTCTCCCTTTCCCTTTCCCTTTCCCTCTCCCTCTCCCTCTCCCTCTCCCTCTCCCTCTCCCTCTCCCTCTCCCTCTCCCACTTTCTCCCTCTCCCACTTTCTCTTCCTCCCTCTCCCACTTTCTCTTCCTCCCTCTCCCTCTCCGCCTCTCTCCCCCTTCCTCTCCCCTACTCCCTCTCTCCCTCTCCCACTCTCTCCCTCTCCCTCCCACTTTCTCTTCCCTCTCCCTCTCTGTCTCTCTCCATCTCCCTCCTTCCCTCCCTCCCTCAGTTTCAGTTAAATGTTCATGACAAGGAGATAACATTCCAAATTGGGGAAGTGGAAAACAAGATACGAAGACTAGAAAATAGAACAAAGATGGTGCGCTTTGCCTTGGCCCAAAGGGCTCCGAGTGAACGGTTTCGCCGAGAAATACACCGATCAGCTGATTATCGTAAACAAACTGCCCTTGTTGCGGAGATTTGTCACGAGAGAGGTTAATTACTTTTCTGTTTGAGACTGTAATAAAGCCTCGAAACCGACGTACACTACTTCTGTCACAAGCATTACTAACAAGTATATAAAGGGAAAAAAATATGTTGCAGTTCAGATAGATGTACTTTAACGGTCTAAGTTTGCGGCAATTTTGATTATTTTCAAACGGCCGAGAACTACCTCCAGCCCTCATCCTTTTTGTCACGCAACGCCTCACGAAATGTTTTGTCAGGTCGACCGTTCATGTGATTGTGTCGCGCAACGCACGGTGTGCTTTGCTCTTAATAAGAGATTCGATGGAAATCAGTCAGCTAGAGACGTGAAGTAGACACGTATGACACGTGTTTAATAGTCAATCAATTATTACCTTCCAATTTTTTGAGTCAGTAATGCTAATGTATGAGGAGTAAAAGATTCTATAAGCATCATAGATCATACATCTCCATGACTTTGCACAAAAGTATATACAAACAACGAATATGTATTCTCTTATTAGATGACAAAAAAAATAAGTGGCATCTTTGAGCGACAAAACGTATACCTCCTTTATGGTGACAGAATACCATACGTGTACAAAAATATTACAGGGTATCAGGCTGCTTACACAAAGACGGACCCAAAAGCTTGCATATGGATATAGATATTACACACTTACTAATCATTACAATAAAAAATGAATATATGTGTGTATATGTGTGTGTGTGTGTGTGTGTGTGTGTGTGTGTGTGTGTGTGTGTGTGTGTGTGTGTGTGTGTATATATATATATATATATATATATATATATATATATATATATATATATACACACACATTATATACATATGTATATGTATGTGTTTATTTTTTTCTGAAGTAGACAATCATTCCAAAGTAGCTCAAAAAGTCGCAAATCGCAAATTTCAATATGTAGTAGCCTATAAAAGCCAAATCTGGCAACCTGAGAGGGACACACAAAGGGGATTAAATAGAGAGAGAGGAGGGGGGAGCACAGAGAGAGAGAGAGAGAGAGAGAGAGAGAGAGAGAGAGAGAGAGAGAGAGAGAGAGAGAGAGAGAGAGAGAGAGAGAGAGAGTGGCAAAGAAAGAGGGTGAACAGGTCGGTGTAACAGACACTTCCGGGCTGCCGCAGGTGGTGGGCACCATCGGGGCCACTCCGGCCTGCAGCTTCGACAACCTGCGGGAGATCGGGGAAGTGGCGCAGGAATTCGGAATGTGGCATCACGTGGACGCCGCATACGCAGGTAATGTTGTATTGAATTTTTCACTCAACCTAGGTATTCTAATTTCCATAATAGTCATCTATGAGTCACCTTGTCAAATATCTTTTTAAAGTCTAAGTATACGCAATCCACCTAGCTGTCTCTTTCTTGTAAAATTTCAGATATTCTTATTCAGATATTCAGATATTCAGATATTAATCTTCCTTTCTAACAGCTTATATACTACACTCGATAACGAAACTGATCTATAATTTAGAGGATTTTGTGTGTCGCCGCTCTTATATAAAGGTGCAACTTTTCCATTTTTCCAATATTTTCGTAGTTTTCCTTGTCTCACTAAATTTTGGAATATTAACAAGGAGGAAGTATATAGTTCCTAGGCACATTCCTTAAGAACCCAGTCAGAAATGTCATCTGATCCATTTTCTTTAGTCTTATTAACCTTCTTAGTAGGTCTTTTATTTCCTGAGATCTGTGTCTTCTGAAGCTTTTCCAAAGGAGCTGCTTGGTTTCTCTCTAATTCTTGCATTTATCAGTGAACCACTTTTGGTCATTTCTTTCTTCAGATTTGAATCATGATACAATTTTTCTACTCCTTTTTATAGACTTCACATTATTTATTTTCTATATCAAGGTTCTCTTCGTCCAGGAATATTGCCTTGTTTATACCATGAAAGAAAGTTTTAAGGATTTTATAATTACCTTTCTTTTAATTATACTTCCCCTTTCTACAAGCACCTCCTTGTAATCCTCTCGTAGGGCCATCAGGACTTGCTGGAGAACATTGAGTTCTTCATAGCGGAAATTTTTTGGATGAGCTCTTCTGAAACTGTCTCATCTTGTGTCAATGGCTGAAGCTGAGTCATGGTCCAGAAAGCCCAAGGAGGTTCATGAATGGTACCCTATGAGCTCCCCGTGCCAGGGTTACGGTGAAGCTGCTGGCAACAGGGCAATGGTTTCTGCAGAAAGCGTTTATCAGTGCAACTGTTAGTTTGCGTCAGATGCAGAATATGTCTGGCAGAAGTTAAGTCAATAAACGGGAAGAAAAAAACTCGGGGCCTTTACTCTGAGAGAGAGAGATTTACACACATACTGACATACAGAGCTTTATATATATATACATATTTATATGTGTGTGTGTGTGTGTGTGTGTGTGTGTGTGTGTGTGTGTGTGTGTGTGTGTGTGTGTGTGTGTGTGTGTGTGTGTGTGTGTGTGTGTGTGTGTGTGTGTGTGTGTGTGTGTGTGTGTGTGTGTGTGTGTGTGTGTGTGTGTGTGTGTGTGTGCATATATATGTATAAATGCATATATGTATGTGTATATATATATATGTGTGTGTGTGTGTGTGTATACATAGGTACATATATATATATATATATATATATATATATATATATATATATATATATATATATGTGTGTGTGTGTGTGTGTGTGTGTGTGTGTGTATGTGTGTGTGTGTGTGTACATATATATATATATATATATATATATATATATATATATATATATATATATATATATATATATATTATATATATATATATATGTATATGATATATATATATACATACATATACGTACATATGTGCATGTATATATATGTATGTATTTATGCTTATATACATGCATTTATGTTTATGCTACTTCTGTTTTGTCGAACCCTTCGAAGAACAGCTGTTTTGCCTCCTCCCATAACACTGCCTCAATCCTAGGGTCGGCGCTGGTGTGCGAGGAATACCGCTACCTGATGGACGGATTAGAACTGGCCGAAAGCTTCAATTTCAACCCTCATAAATGGCTACTTGTGAACTTCGACTGCTCTGCTATGTGGTTGGTGTCATTATATTTTATTGGGAAGTGACATTGACAATCATTTGAATCCAAAAAAGCGAAGATAATACTGCAACCTTTTAGTCATATGTTTGCGAAGATTTCCGTGGCAATAGGCTGTAAGGAATTTATTTACTTTCAATAGCTGGCTAGAGCAATCAAGGATGCTATTATTAAGTAATGTGCAGGAAGAACAACGAAGGGAAGATCAGGAAAACACACGAATATGCCGAAGGCCTTTTCGCAATTTATTGCTTCATCAGGGCATCATGCCCTGATGAAGCAATAAATTGCGAAAAGGCCTTCGGCATATTCGTGTGTTTTCCTGATCTTCCCTTCGTTGTTCTTCCTGCAATTTGTTTGACATGAATTAAGTAATGTGTAAGTGGCCTGCGTTTGTCCAACCTGGTCATTACAGCCACCCGGTTCAAATTCGGTCTTGTTTACAAATGTTGACCAATCATGGGAAAATAAGTGAACCCGTAACCCCTTCATTTAGTAGCTCTAAATATCATATGTATCCCCTGTATGTTGCGCAATTTGTTAATTATACGCCTGGTATAATATGTATTTTCACTAAGCCCTTTCACAAATACTGATCATTCCTTTTCTCCTTGACAAACAAAAGGAGGTAGCACCTCTTGATCGAATAGTAACCTGACAGCTTCTGGTGTCAGGTTACACACACACACACACACACACACATGTATGTATATACAGCATATATGTATATATCATCTCTCTATCTATCTATCTCTGTCTCTCTCCCTCTTTCCCTTTCCTCTCTCTCTCTCTCTCTCTCTCTCTCTCTTTCTCTCTATCTCATAACTCTCTCTCAATCTCTCTCTCTCTCTCTCTCTCTCTCTCTCTCTCTCTCTCTATATATATATATATATATATATATATATATATATATATATATATATTACTAATTATATAACGCTAGTATCTTCCCCATATCATAGTGCCAGAAAGCCTTATTTTACCTGGGGTTGCATATAGGCCTAATAGATCTGCGCTCCGACGTTATTTCGTTCGGCAACCTTTGAGGCGGTGTAACCCACAATTACGTCCGTTAACTAATGTAGGACTAGGGCTTATTAATCACACCCTGCTCACACCCTAGACGTCGTTGTCATATTTGGGTCAGTCCCACCGATATTGTGATTCGTGATAAATACCTGTAGTGCATGTCACGAGCGCCATCATAGATCTGCAGATAGAGTGGGTTATTTATAAATTTTCCCAGCTCGTTTTCGCTTCGTAAAGTACGTTATTTTGGGTACAGACCCCCGTCAATGAAGTCTGCATGTGCAGCTAGACATTTTCTACCTCGGCAGATTTTTTCCCTGAAACCTTTCATTAATAGTGTTTCTTGCTGTCGTATTTGCAGGTCTATGACATATCTCTTTGCCCGCGATTTTGTCAGTCGTGACTTCTTATTTTTACATACATTTCTTTTCTGTGTTAAGACAATTGGTTCAAGTAAATCCTTGCGGATTAACATTTGTCGTTTCCCTTACTTTATTCTCGTATCTATCAGAGATGGTTTGGTAGTTCAAGCTACTACCATCTTCCTCTTCTATTTTCTTCTTTAACTTTGTGAACGGAAAACACAAAATGAAAAAAAGACGAAAAATAACGAAAATTCGACCATAAAAACTGCAAATATATATAAATAATCGGCTAGTTGCACTTAACACCTCCTCTTCTCTGTTGTCTTTCTTTTCTCTTACTATCTTGGCCATTATGTATATAATCTGGTTCACGGTATCTAACATGGCACCAAAAGAGGAACCTGCTGCAGAAACGGTCACCTTCGGATGAGATGGAAAACGTCACTGGAAGATCGCTAGAAGCCTGGAGACCAGGATGTTCGTCAGAGCAGGTATCAAGCTGCCCCAGGATGTGTAAGGGCGCCGCCTGGCAGGACGCCCGTAGATCCAGCGAAGGACCAGGAACTCGCCAGCGCAGGTACCAGTCGCCCCATGATGCTGTGACGGGCGCCGCCTGCCTGGACGCCGCAGATCCAGTCAAACTCCAGGAGCTCGTCAGCACAGGTATCAGCCGCCCTGAGATGCCGAAGAGGACGCTTCCTGCCCGGACGCCCGTAGATCCTAACGAAGATTACGAGGACGTCTGTACGAACGCGCAGCCGAGAAGGACCTGGACGAAATCTGCGAGGACGTGCATTGGGCGAGTAAGCCGCCGAGTTAGGCCTGGACGAAGACTACGAGGAAGTCTGGATGAGTCCGAAGTCAAGGAGAACCTGTGCGAGACCTTCGAGGACGTGTGGATGTCGAGGATGGACGGATGTACCAGGAACCAGAATGAAGATGACGACAAGGACGAGCAGCCACCAAGATGCAAAAGCCAAGTTGGGTCACCCTTGAGGCAAATCTAAGGTGTTTCGAGGGCGAAGCGTAAGTAGGTGGCCTAACAATATACTGTGTACATACGCGTGACTGCTTGCCTCCACGTGGCGTGCCCCACGCCGGTGGGCGAGGTGGCGTCCCCAGGCCGCGTCTCGCTATATAAATGGCCAAGTATGACACGGTCAGATAGCCGATGCACCGCACTGTGGAGAAGTGACAGAATCTCTCGCCGTAGAGATCCACCTGGCCGGGGGACCCCTCAAACTGTACAACATGTACAACCGGCCAGGCTGTAGTAGCTTAGATATTAGCCAGGTCTGTGCGTCTGCTGCACAAGACCGAGTGATCATTGGGGGAGACTTCAATGCACATCATCCCATCCTAGCTCCCTGCCGGGAACCGGATGCGGCTGGCCTTCACATAGCCAGCGTGCTTGAGACGTTCCCCGAGATCGCTCTCCTCAACACCAGAGAACCAACGCATGTCGGCGGTGGGGTACTAGACCTCACCCTGGTCACTGCGACTCTGGTGGACAGGATTAGCTGGTGTGTTGATTAGACTGTCACAAGCGACCATTACTGTACAGTAACCACCCTCATGGACGCAGGCCCAACCGAAATCCCACGACCGAATCCAAGATGGAAAACAGACAAGGCCAACTGGCAGGCGTTTCAGAACGCCTTGGCTCACTGTCTGAGAGGCAACGAATCCACACAAGCCGAAAACGTGGATGTGCTGGAAGCCAGACTGGTACAAGCCATAAACCAAGCAGCCTCACTGACCATACCCAGAACTCGGCCCGGGTCCAGGCGTCACAAGGACGCCTGGTACTTTAACGACGAGATCAGGGAGGTCAACCACAGGGTGAACATGTGCCGAAAAGTGTTCCGAAGGCAAAGAACCCCCGACAACCTCGCACTGCTGAGGGAGGCTGTCAGGGATGCCAAGGAAACTGCTAACAGAGTCAGGCAGGAGACATGGTTGGAATGGTGTGAGTTCTTCAATCACCAAACCACCATCTCAGAGCTGTGGCAGCGGGTCAGGCGAGCTACCAGCCGCTCAGCCCCGAGACGAACGCACTACGACCCTCAAGCAGAGGCAAACAGACTGGTGCACCAGTTCTCTGAGAGAACAAGCAGCAACAGTCTACCAGCTGAGCTGAGGGCCAAACAAGAAAACCTGAAAGCAGACAGACTTGCTCAGATCAGAGAAAGGGCAGCCGAGGGAACTTCGAAAAGCCTTCAAGTGGAGTTCCAACACAGCCCCAGGCTCTGATGGGATCACGTATTCCATTATCTCCCGCCTAGGACGAGAAGGTGAACTTGCACTCTTGCAACTCATCAACAAGTCCTGGGAATCTTCCTCTCTACCGCAGAGCTGGAAGAGGGCTACCATAGTTCCCATCCCAAAAGCCAAGGAACCGGGGAATTACCGCCCCATCTCTCTCCTCAGCTGTCTGGCCAAGACGGCCGAGAGGATGGTACTGAACCGGCTCCTGTGAACTAGTAAGTCTTCTTGCTATTCAGGAGGCCCTGGCCCAGAAGGGAATCAGAGGAAAGCTCTTGGCTTGGATAGGTGACTACTTTAGGAACAGAACAGCCAGAGTGAAGTTCCAGGGTCACCAATCGCAGCACTTGCCACTGGAAAATGGGACACCACAGGGTGGGGTTCTCAGTCCAACCCTGTTTAACATACTTATGTATCCTCAACATGAACCTCCCGTCGGGGTGCAAGATCGTGCCATCACCGCCATTGGGACACAATGCCTAAGTAAAGCCCAGCGTTGTCTGGACCTTGTGTCCGAGGAGTGTTGCAGGACAGGACTTAAGATCTCAGCAGTCAAATCTAAGGCCATGGCTCTGGGAAAGCGAGTTCAAGGCACAAGTCTGAGGATCCAGGGAGTAGACTTGGAATGGGTCCCGGTGTTCCAATACCTTGGGGTATGGGTAGACCGGACCCTCTACTTCCGGCAGGAGACCAAGTACCTGGTCGACCGATGCAAAGCAAGACTGAACGTCATGAGAGCAATGACTGGGAGACGCATAGGAGCCAGACACAAAGTACTAAGAGCCTTCTATGTACATGCTGTCAGGCCCATTGTGGATTACGCCTCAGTCGCCCTAATTGGCAGAAAGAAAAAATACAGAGAAAAATTGGAAACAGTCCAAAACGAAGCTGCCAGAATCATTCTGAGTGCCCCGAGGTGGTCAAAGGTTCCCAACCTCCTGATGGAGACCAACCTTTTCCCCCTGGACTCACGAATCGATCAAATGGCAGCCAATTTCTTTGCAAAGGTCATCCAGGCTCCCAGGAACACGAGCCTAAGAGAAAGATTAGTCAGACGCCTGGAACAAGACAACAAGCTCTTTGCCAACAGCACGTGGCTGTCCCACACAGCCAGGGTGTTGATAAGCTTTGAGCTCAAAGAGCAGCTCCTGACCAAGGGCATGGACTCCACCCACCCTGACTTTGTCGAAGCCCCGCCGTGGGCACAAAATTCGATAGAGTTCTCGGTCATGAGATTACCGCTCAAAAAGAACGATTATCCCACGCCTGGTCTAAAGGCAGAGACCTACAGGGTCATATCAGCCATCACCCCCCCAAGGTAGTAGAACTTACTACATGGATGGATCGGTCGATCCAGCCAACCACACTGCAGGCGCCGGCTTCGCAGCAAGGGATGCCATTCGCTCCATGAGGGTATCAGACAACGCCTCCTCGCTACAGGTAGAGGCCGTTGCGATCATGGGAGCCCTAGCCCACGCGTCCCCAATGGGAGGACACGTAGTCATACACACTGACTCTAGGGCAGCCATTGACTCTCTCAAGCTCAGCTCACCCAAAGACAATATCTACCTCCTGACCACAATACTAACAATAGCCCAAAGAATACTGGCTCAGGGTAGAAGAATCATTCTCAACTGGGTCCCTAGCCATATTGGCATCAGAGGGAACGAACTTGCTGACAGACTAGCAGTCTCTGGCAGGGGTATGCCCCCTAGTCCCATGATCATTGCACCTAGCCGTAATTTATTTCGGAAGAAGAGTATTGGTGTCGCCAACTCCTTCCTCCTGCAGCTTCACAGAGAGGCAACGAGATCCGTACCGTACCGTATCTATCTATCTCTGTTTCTCGCTTTCCCTTCCTCTCTCTCTCTCTCTCTCTCTCTCTCTTTTTCCCTCCCCCCTCCTTTCTCTCTCTCTCTCTCTCTCTCTCTCTCTGTCTCTCGCTTTCCCTTCCTCTCTCTCTCTCTCTCTTTCTCTCTCTCTCTCTCTCTCTCTCTCTCTCTCTCTCTCTCTCTGTCTCTCCCTCCCTCCTTCCCTCCCTCCCTCCCTCTCTCCCTCTACCTATCTCTCTCTCTCTCTCTTTCCCCCCCCCCCCCTCCCTTTTCTCTCTCTCTCTCTCTCTCTCTCTCTCTCTCTCTCTCTCTCTCTCTTTTTCCCTCCCCCCTCCCTTTTCTCTCTCTCTCTCTCTCTCTCTCTCTCTCTCTCTCTCTCTCTCTCATTCTCTTTCTCTCTCTT